GCCCTTCGGGAGAGCCTCGTCTGAAATTGACAAGTTATTCTAACTACAGCCCATCGTTCTGAAATAGACAACGTCCCTCGCACTCCTCTACCGATAACGCCCTTTATCTATGTTTACAATTACAGTCCCCCACTCACCCTGCTAATAATAATAGACCTAACGCTTTTACCCCGATCAGAATTTTAAATTTAAGTTTCTTTTCATAAAAACTTTAGCACAGCGGGGAATCAGACATAGAGCTGGGTTTTGCCAATAATATGATCTCCACCAAAAAATACACCGTTCACAAAAACATCTGTCGGTGAGTAATTGTCATTTCTCTGTTTATTTATCGCTCCGTTGATGAAGGACACAAGCGAGTCCAAAAATTCCGAACCTAAATCCTTTGCCTGCTTCATTTCTGTCATATAGTTACTAATTAATAATTAATATTTAATAAATGTTTATCATACTTATTATATTGGTACCCTTTCTTTTGTCCTTGTTTTATTAACTAACCTATAGGAAGGGCACGTGAACCTTTTTATCCTAATCATATATACATATACATATATATATATATATATATATATATATATATATATATATATATATATATATTACATTTATGTAGATGCGGGAACGTACATGCATGCGTTTTTTTTTATTGTGTGTATGATTTTGTCTGAATAAGAGTGTGAGGTAAATGTAAACATTACAGATTAACCTGATAGAATAGCGAATTTCTTTTTGGAAAATGATAGTATAGGATAGATTTGTGTTGGGTACGCGTGTTGGTTTAGTTAAAGATTTATTATCGTTATGGGATTAGTATTTAATATGTAAAACATTGGATTAAACTATGAAATAAAGATACCAGCACACCTCGTTATGAATTCCGGAAGTAGTAGATTGAAACTAAACCGGATGTAGTAAATGACACCACTATATAGGAAAGGAGCGTGAAAAGCCCTGTTTTCATTGGCTGACGTTGACTGACATATCTCAATAAGAACGGTCGAAGTCCGGCCTTGCTAGTTCTTATGATTTCTGTTTTGTAATGTCAAGGAGGGGCCCTGACTCGTCCAGAATCAGGTTGGGGTTGCTGTTGGAGCCGATATGATGGAAAATACGAAATCTTGATGCATGTAAAATTTATTATTTATCTATATATTTTAAGTAAGTTCCTTTCATATTGTATGATAAGCTGAATAACATTATCATTAAAAGACGAAAGGAAAACACCATATTGTTACATGTTTAAATCCAATCTAAGCATTCGTCTTACATAAGCCATTATCAAAGATGACAATTACATTTTAATATATCAAACAACACACGGACGAAAAAATAATGATAGTTTGTTTTAGTTGCATGAAAAATTTCAAAGCAACGACAAATTCGTGTATACGAGACGCGGAAGCGAAAATTGCGTCGCAGCTCGTGACGTCACATATGACCATGCGAGCGTGAAAACGAGAAGTATTAAGTATGGGAAGCTGTTGGTATAACCCAATGGCTTCTGTTATCAATTATAGGCATTTAAGAATATTTGTGGAGATGTCATAGTTTATTTTGTTCAGGTTAGGTTTAGGTGATGTAGGGGCAACACATATACTGCATCAGTAGAAGAAGTGTATCCTGACGGAGCCCAACCCTCTCCAGGGCGGTTTTAAATTCAGATTTACTTTCTCCTAGACTGGTTGCTACTCAAGGCTGTAGAAACCACACTGTCCTTGCAATTTACCCATAGCTGGGGAGTAGAAGAAGAATATTCATATCTTTCTTTGTAAGCCACTGATGGGTATGGGGCTTGTCTACATCAGCTTGTTTTGTGCGTGCGGACTATTGGCCATGAAGCGGTTTATCTTGCTATTGTTTCTGCATCTGGTCGGTTGCATTTGTATTTGCTTTCTTTTTTAAGTATTTTGCAGCTTCAGTCGGTGTATTGTGCTTTACTTGTATTGCTGAATCCCTTTGAAGCTCCATTTTGAACTTGTTGGGTCCTTTTATTACTGAATAAAGACGCTTTCTACTTTCATGTTCTTTGACGCATATCATCATCCAGATCTATGTCTGATTCCTCGCTGTGCGAAAAATTTTTATGAAATGTCTTCTGTAGTTTCCAGGTATCTTTGAAAGCCAATTGTTGTGGTTTTGCATAACAGTTCTAGTTGAACTAATCCTCTTCCTCTTTCGGATCTGGACACATGCGGACGCTCAAAATCAGCTTTTGGATGATGCATGCGGTGGCAGGTGAGAAGCTTTCTCGTTTTGACATCCAATCGATTCATGTCAGACATGGTCTAATTAAGGATGTTGGAATTGTATTGCACTACAGGTAGAGTCAGAGTTTTTATGGCTAATAATCTGCTCGATATTTCAAACCAGACGGACACACCCGTAGAATACTTTTCTTCTTTTATCACTCATTTGTGTATGCCGCATTCCATCTTCGCCGACTTCTAGGCATTTATAGGATTCTTTTTCTTCCAATTCCCTAATCTTTGTGATAAAATCTTGATCCATCGTGAGCGTTTCTGCACTTCTCCCTTTCTTAAATGTTACTTTAGCACATTTATCTAATCCAAAATCCATACCGACCGATATCACACTGAAACATTTTACAGTATTAAAGCTACACGTCAAATTATTGTCGTCTTTGGTAAAAAGTTTGATATCATCTATGTATAATATGTGATTAAACACTGTCACTTTTACTTTTACCCATAGTTATTACTGTTTATTATTATTATCATTATTATTATTATTTGTGCATGTTATGTTTCTAGCTTTGTATCCTGTAGGCCAGGTCCAAAACTATGGTTCTTAAGCCCTATAGGAGAATTGTCATTTAATTGATAGCACTTTTCTTATATATGGGATGTTCCTAGTAGGGTGGTCAACTTGTATGCTGATGTTACCTAGGACACTGTTAGCAAAATTGTCCTTTAAAGTCCCTTTTGTGTTCGCATAATCTTTTCTTTAAATTTCGCGAACAATATAACACTCAATGGATGAATAATATTAATAATAATAATAATATGACGATATCCCACTGAAACATTTTATGTTTTTTGGCACAGATCATCATTCAGTCTTCTGTAGTTTCCAGGTATCTTTGAAAACCGATTGTTGTAGTTTTATAAGGCAGTTCTAGTTGAACTAATCCTCTACTTCCTTCGGATCTGGATATAGATACAAAATCAGTATCAGCCTTAGAATGTTGCACGCGGTGACAAGCGAGAAACTTTCTCGTTATGTTATCCTTCCGTTTAATGTCAGTTATGGTCCAATTAAGGATGTTGAAACTGTTTTACGCCACGGTGACATCCAAAGTATTTATGGCTGATATTTTGATTTGTGAATTCAACTTGGTATTTCACCCCAGACGCAAACACCCGTAGAATACTTTTCTTCTTTTATCACTCATTTGTTTATGCTGTATTCCACCTCCTTCGCCGACTTCTTGGTATTTATAGGATTCCTTTTTTTCCAATTCCCTAATCTTTGTGATAAAATCTTGATCCATCGAGAGTGTTTCTGCAATTCTCCCTTTCTTAAATGTTACTTTAGCACATTTATCTAATCCAAAATGCGTACCGACCGATATTACACTGAAACATTTTGATACACGTCAAATTATTGTCGTCTTTGGCAAAGAGTTTGATATCATCTATGTATAATATGTGATTAAACACTTTCACTTTTACATTTTATACATAGTTATTACTATTTATTATTATTATTATTATTATTATTATTATTATTATTATTATTTATTTTCTTTGATTTCTGGCGTTTACACATTTCTTTCCGGGTCACGCCCAGGGACCTAAGGTTAGAGATGGCATCATGACACTTTCCACTGACAAAAAAAAAATACATAGATAAAGCCCTTCGTAAAGTGTGGGCTGTACTTGTCAGAACAATTTTTTGTATCTCCTTGAGGCATGGACTTCCAGGAATCCCTTCAATTAGTCTACTAATCTTTTCCAACCAGTCGTAGGGCTCCAACTACAACAGGGATTTTTGATGTTCCCATATGCCACATTTTCGAGATTTCTATTTCAAGGTCCTTGTATTTTGACAGCTTTTTGAATATCTTCAAAGATACATTGCAGTCAGCAGGGACTGCCATATCAATAAGGAGGCACCGTTTTTGTTTGTGATCTTTAATAACAATATCTGGGCGGTTGACCTTGATTGTTCTGTCAGTGTGTATTGTGTAATCCCATAGAATTGTAACAGGTCCTATCTCCGTAACCTGGTCTGGGTGGTGTTCATACCAGTTTCTTTCAGTTTCCTTGCCGAAAATTTTCCAGTGCAGATATTGGCCCACTCTGTCATGTCGGGTTTTATATTCAGTGGGTGTCAATATCGTGCAACCTGATACAAGATGATCAATCGTTTCTGGATATTTATCACAGAATCTGCATTTTGGGCTGACACAATATTTTAGTATATGTGCTTGATAATTCCTAAGTGCTTGATTATTATTATTATTATTATTATTATTATTTCTGCATGTTTTGTTTCCAGCTTTGTATCCTGTAGGGCCAGATCCAACCTATGGATCTTAGGCCCTATAGGAGAATTGTGATTTAATTGATAGAACTTATTATATGGGATGTTCCTAGTATAACGATCATCTGGGCAACTTGTATGTTGATGTTACCTTTAACACTGTTAGCAAAATTGTCCATTCCTTTTCTCACGGGGACTGAGCTCCGATTACTATTTGTACAGTCTCAGTTTTCATTCCCCACATGCTGTTAATCTCGATCTCCAGGTACTTGCTGTTGGAGAGTTTCTCGATAATTTCCACATAGGTATTTCTCTCAAATGATACTGCTATGTCAATGTAAGTATATTCTTGAATTTCTTGTCTTTTATTATAAAAACGGGCATCCAGAGATATTATGGAGCTATCGACCATATTGGTCGATAGCTTCATAATATTTTCCGCAATCCTGCATTTCGGTTTGGATTGGTTTGTTTTACAGTATGTAATCACCTCAATGGGTTATTTAATACCGACAAGATTTTTAGTGCTGGCAATATCTATCTATCTATCTATCTATCTATCTATCTATCTATCTATCTCAGACTGTTCATATCCATCTATCTCTGACTGTTCATATCTATCTATCTATATATCTATGTTCATTATCTATCTATCTATCTATCTATCTATCTATCTATCTATCTATCTATCTATCTATCTCAAACTGTTCATATCTATCTATCTATCTATCGATCTATCTATTTCAGCCTGTTCATATCCATCTATCAAAGCCTGTTCATATCCATCTATTTCAGACTGTTCATATCTATCTATCTATCTATCTATCTATCTATCTCTATCTCAGTATATATTGGTTTGGTTTGTTTTGTTTAACGGTATATCAACACCTCAATGGGTTATTTAATGCTGACAAGATTTTTATTACAGGTAATTTTTTTTCCAAAAATGTATTGCTGCTAATACTTTTTTTTTCCAAAAATGTATTGCTGCTAATACATTTTTTTCCAAAAATGTATTGCTGGTAATAATTTTTTTTCCAAAAATATATTGCTGGTAATATTTTTCTTTTTCAAGCATGTACTGCTGGTAATAATTTTTTCCAAAAAATATTGCTGGTATTAAAACCTATTTTTATACTTTGATAGTGTTTTGACTCCTTCAGGGTAGTTAACTAATTGCCCATAGCTGGGACCCTGACAGGTGCTACCACACCAGGTCCGGGTGGATCTGGGAACAGCAGCAAGTAAGAGGTGGTTCCACGCTACTCAAAACCTCCTGAACAGAGGCCTCGCTGTCGGATGTAGTTTATCGTCTTACCCAGAACGCGGATGTAGTCTATCGTCTTACCCAGGACGCGGATGTAGTTTATCGTCATACCCAGGACGCAGATGTAGTTTATCGTCTTACCCAGGACGCGGATGTAGTTTTTCGCCTTACCCAGGACGCCTGAATTTCGGTGTAGCTATTATTATTTACCGACAACGCGTATCTTTAACTTTGTGTAGTATTTTTTAGTTTTGATCCGGAGGTCCAACAAATTACTTGAACATTAAACAATATTAAATGACGTTACTATCAGGAAATGCAACGCTACATTTCAAATTTACTCATACATACATCGTTTAAGAGACGTTGTGTGTAGAATGGTTTCACAATTCTTGATAACACCACATTATATCATTAAATTTTGTTATACGCATTTTAAATATTTTTCACGTATGAAATATTTTTATATACATTAAACTTTTAGACACATTAAATCTGTTTTTGTATGTAAATATTTTGCACACAGTAATTATTTTATACTTATCGTAAATATTTTGCACATATCAAATATACTGTACACATTGCAAATATTTTATATGTATTAAATATTTTATTATTTGAAAATATTTTCAGCCCATTAAAGATATTATGCACATTGTAAATATTTTAAACATTGCGGGTATTTTGCACACATTTTACATAAGTTGCACACATTAAATATTTTATTATTTTAAAATAATTTGCTCATATCAAATATATTAATATTATTACATGATTTACACACATTAAATATTTTATTATTTTAAAATAATTTGCTCATATAAAATATATTAATATTTTTACATGATTTGCACACATTAAATATCTTATTATTTTAAAATAATTTGCTCATATCAAATATATTAATATTATTACATGATTTACACACATTAAATATTTTATTATTTTAAAATAATTTGCCCATATCAAATATATTAATATTTTACATGATTTGCACACAATAAATATTTTATTATTTTAAATGATTTGCACTCATTAAATATGTTATTTTTATATCATTTGCTTTCATAAAGAATCTTATTATTTTAACATAATTTGCACACATTAAATATTTTATTAATTTTACATAATTTACATAATTTAAATATTTTATTATTTTTACATAATTTACATACATTAAGTATTTTATTATTTTAACATAATTTGCACACATTAAATATTTTATTATTTTTACATAATTTACACATATTAAATATTTTATCCGCATTGTAATATTTTACACATATATATTTCATCATCATAAAATGTTTTACACACATCCAATCCTTATACGTATAATAGATATTCTATAGATATTTTAAATATATTGTATACACTCTAAGTATTTTACATACTCTATTCTATTATTTTAAATATATTGCATGCGTTAAACATTTTATATATTTCGTGACAATTTTGCACATATTCTATATTTTCTCCACATAGTAAATATTTTATAGATGTCATCGTAAATTCTATGCTAACAGTTTCTTTTCTAGTCGTTCTTGCTCGTAGAACTTTCTTCCGGGTACTTGTTTTCCGGTCAAATTTGATCTTCAAACTAAATATAATGGCAATTATTATCTTCTATCATCCTAATCTATTCCTGTTCTTTTATTGTTCTCTCTCCTTAATAATGTTCCTCCTTTTCTCATCTTCTTTCACGCACACATATATATATATATATATATATATATATATATATATATATATATATATATATATATATATATATTATTATATATATATATTATATATATATATATATATATTATATATATAATGTATATATATATATATATATATTTAAATCATTTAAATTATTATATATATATATATATATATATATATATATATATATATGTGTGTATATATGTGTGTGTGTGTGAAGAAACCTATACGGAAAAAACAAACAAAATCCTAATATGCTATTATGCTGTTTTTCAAGAATAGGAATTGTTTTCACAACATCGCCCACGTGACGCCCACGTGACGCCCACGTGATCATATTGAAACGGAAGACTGATCTTGAAAAATTTCAGTTGTCTGTTTTGATTAGTCTTACTTTATGTCCATCGTCTTTTCATGTGGAATTCAATATAGTCTAATGTTAATTATGTTTTATGAATATGTCCTGAAGATGGTCTACTAGACTGAAACGTCCGACGTTGACGTTATATTAACATTAAAACAGCATAATTGCATATTAGGATTTTGTTTGTTTTTTTCCGTATATTTTTTCTTCATACTGTCGGATCTATATCGATATATTTTGCTTATATATATATATATATATATATATATATATATATATATATATATATATATATTTATAAATTAACTGATTTAAAAACATGGTTCTTTGCTACACAGGAATTACCATGTTTCAAAATTCAAGCTTAAAACTTCAAATTTAATTATATAATTAAATTAAAAGCGTTAGTACTATTTCATCTTCAAGTGAATTTTGGAATCCAAAATTCGCTTGAAGATGAAACAATAGTAATGAGACTGAAATCGACTTGTTTCTCCCGAAATTAAACTCTGTCTATCCCTCTCTTATGCTTACCGTAGAAAAGTAGTCCAATTCTTGTCTTTCCTTTTTGAATGATCTTGTTCATAGGCTCAATGACAAGTTTGAGACTTCCGTATTTAGGAAGGCTACTTTCTCGGGACTTTATACGCGTTGGGACTCTTTTTGTCCCAGACAACAAAAGGTTAATTTGATGAAGGCCTTAATCCATACGACACATAAGATATGTTCTGATGGCCTTCTCTGCGGTGAAATTGAGTTTGTTAGGATGACACTTTCAAAAAACGGATATCCTTTGGATGTTTTAGACTCCGTTATCCATGATGTCATTAATAAATTTTATAGGGTTAAGCTGCATTTTGTTGATAAATGTCCAGTTTATCTGCGTCTTCCCTATATTGGTACAGAGGGTGACATTTGTTACCCCTCCGGTTTTCTCTTCCAAGGACGTAAGGACATCCTCCCTCCCCATCATGTTAATTCAGTGATTTACCAATATAAGTGTAGTTGTGGACTCGACTACATATGGAGGACGTCCCAACGTTTGGATTCGAGAATAAAATAACACTTACCCCGCGCCCCAGGATTTTGAATCCGGCTACCAGGAAGAGCCAACTAACCAATACTTCTGGCTCTGCTATTGCTGAGCATGTTATATAGCAGTAAATGTGTGGTTGATTTTAGTTTGGACCGTCTTTTGATTTTATCTAGGTCTCACTCCACATTTCACCTCAAGGTTCTAGAGTCATTGTATATCATATCCGTGGGCTTTCCCTTTGTAAACAGAGGGAATGCTTACTGGGTCTGAATGTTATTGGACTCTAGTTTTCTTGAAATTCATTTTTTTTTCCATTTCATTCGTTAATTTAATTTACATGCTTTTATATTTTTTATTCCGAGAAAAATAAACATTAATAAGTCCTAGGACGAAACCTGTTGTTTTATTTTTTAGCTTTAAAAAAATACCTAATAAATTTTGCCTTTTCCTAGCTATTATTAAATTCTGTACCCCCAAAACCTTATATATATATATATATATATATATATATATATATATATATATATATATATGTGTGTGTGTGTGTGTGTGTGTGTGTGTGTGTGTAACTATACTCGTTTCGAAAAACCCTCAAATTTTTGATTTGCCAATAATCAAATCAATCTCGAGGAAAAAAAAAAGGTTTTAAAAAAAAGAGCTACAAACATGAAAGTCTGTCGAAAAAAAATCGCACAGATGCAGGTTTGAAGCCCAAAGAAAAACCCCGATACGAGTAAACAACTAACTAACAAAAAGAGCTCAATACAACCGCAGAGCAGACCCTAGATAAACCTAGTGAGCCCAGACAAATCTACCCAGGTTTCACCCTAAGCGGATCGTCAGGGTAAGCTTTTCCTGACGATCCACTTAGGTGAAACCTGATTAGGTTTGTCTGGCTCATAAATTATATATATATATATATATATATATATATATATATATATATATATATATATATATATATGGCGAAATATAGTTTAAAGGTATGCTATATTCATTGGATAAAGTGCTCAATATCAGAGATAGAGCGTATATAAATATAAAAGTGAACATTGAAGCCAACACTTAGAGTCTACAGACTGTTTCATGCTAAATGCAATCCTCATGGCCTGATGATCGCATTTACCACGAAGTCACAAGTCATTGTCACCGAGGATTTGAGTGTGCTAGCTTTGTTCATATTGTTGATCACGCTAGATAACACGGTCTCTCCCAGAAACTGTAACTAAGGTCTGCTCAGCATAGTTGCAGTATAAGCTACAGGTGGGCTCTGGGGGTGTTGAACAAACACAAATGTGCCTGAGCGAGCATCTGCAATAGGGATTGGCTAGTCGCCCTAGTAAACGGGTATCCTAGAATACAAGTGTACGAGTGGCCAGCTATTGTTGTATATATATATATATATATATATATATATATATATATAGTTAAATTCCCAGATGAATTCTGTGGACAAGAAATTACCTTTATAGTAAGG